TTAGAGTGGCCAAAATTGTCCGATGAGAATAAGAAGTCGCTCAAAAGAAAGTTTGAGATGGGGGAAATAAGGGAAGCAATATTTGTTCATGGTAGAAAGATAATTGATTAGATCTTAATAACAAATGAATGTGTGAAGGAGATGAGAAGATCGAATCAAGGTTTCATATGCAAATTGGATCTTGAAAAGGCCTATGATTTGGTGGATTGAAGTTTCTTATTAGTAGTGCTTCAGAAGTGTGGTTTTGGGAATCGATGGTGTAATTGGATGGATAGATGTCTCACATATTGCTATTATTCAGTTTTAGTTAATGGGGTAGTAAATGATTTCTTCCCAGCCTATAGAAGCCTAAGACAAGGTGATCCGTTCTCCCCTTTCTTATTCACACTGGTTGCTGATGTGCTTAGTAGACTTTTATCAGAAGCATATAGGGCATAATCAATAAGAGGGTGGAGAATAGGAAGAAATAGAGTCTCAGTAACTCACCTCTAGTTTACAAATGATATTATAATATTTTTGTGAGGGATGTAATTTGTCGAGGGTAAGGAATTTGAAGAATCTTATAATTCTTTTTGAAAGTGCCTTTAACTTGAAAGTAAAATTGAGAAGTTTTGGAATTTGGAGCCTATAGCTGCCTGCTTAGAGTGCACCATTTCTGAGTGGCCCTTGACATACTTGGGACTCTCTCTAGGTGCTAATCTGAAGGAGAGTCGGTTTTGGAACCCATTGGTGGAAAAGTTTGAAAAGAGACTGACGGCCTGGAGAAAGAATTGTATTTCTCTTAGGGGTAGAGTAACTTTAATTAGGGCCACACTTGCTACATGCCAACCTGCCTATTTATTTTCTACCAGTCTTTAGAATACCTTCTAGGGAAGCTAAGAGGATAGAAAAACTAATGAGGGATTTTCTGTGGGAGCTAGGGGAAGAGAAGAACCTGGTGGCTAGTATCCATGGCTGTTTTGAAAATGGTTGGGATGCTGGGGTATCTTGACGGGTGTTACAACACTTTGGAAGGCGATTTTTTGGCATCCTACCTAAATTCCTTGGGCTTGTAAGGTATGATGTCTGCTTTGGCACTTCTATTCTTTTTTGGGAAGGTGTTTGGGTGGGTATCCAACCATTGAAAGAAAGAAACACAACTCTTCTCAGCAAATGGTTGTGGAGATTCCCTCGGGAACCAAATGCTCTTTGGATTGATGTCATCACTAGCAAGTACGGGAAGCATTCTAACAGTTGGGATAACAATATTCACTTGGACCAGGTCAAAGATACCAACTTTTAGAAAGGTATAATCTCAACTTATCATTTTTTCATATTTTGTATCAGATATGAAAGATACCAACTTTGGGTGGGTATCCAACCATTAAGTTCTGGACTGATGTTTGGTGGGGTGACTCCACATTGGTCAATTCCTTTCCTCGCCTTTTCAACCTTACCTTAACCATGAATCCCATGTTTTGTCCTCATCCCTTACTCAATTTAACTGGAACCTAAACCTTAGAAGACCGATAAGGGACTTAGAACTTAGTGAAGTTACTAGATTTCTGCACACCCTTAGAGAAGTGTACCTCTCCCCAAATACCCCTGACCTTCAAGTTTGGACCCTTCACCCGTCAGGTAACTTTTCAACCAAGTCTTGCTTCGAGGCTCTAATAGAGGAAAAACAGACATCAAAACAGTTCCCCTTCAAGAGAATTTGGTGCTCCCATACCCCATCCAGAGTTTGTTTGTTTTTTGTTTGCTTGTTTGTTTGTTTGTTTGTTTGTTTTTGTTTTTGTTTTTGTTTTTTTTTTTGGTGTGTGGGAGCTAGTTTGGAGAGGATTAATACTTATGACCTTCTCCAGAAAAAGAACCTTGGAAGATCTTATTTCTCCCCACATGTCTCCTGCTTCTGTTTAAAAGCTGGGGAATCATCCAACGACATACTGTTTCACTATGAGGAAACCAAGAAATTTTGGAACTTCTTCCTCACCCTATTTGATTACAGTTGAGCCTTCCTAGAGCATGTGGCAGATTGTCTAAGACAATGGACATGAAGAGGCTTAAGTGAAAGAGGGAAGACGTTGTGGTAATCAGCAGCTCATGCTATTCTTTGGAGCACATGGGAAGAGAGAAATAATCATGTGTTCAACAGTAGAACAAGAAATCATGAGGAACTCATTTCCATCATATCTCATAGATGTTTCCTTTGGACTTCCATTTCAGAGTACTTTAAAGGAGTCTCCATCTTTGATCTCCAAAGGAATTCAACAAACTTCATAAATTCCAAACATGTCTTTCACCACCCCCTGCATCTTCAGAACTGCTGAGGAAGGGGAGATAACCTTGTATTTTGATGGAAGTGCCATCGGAAATCCAGGTGAAGCAGGAATTCAAGGTGTTTTCAGAAGAAGAGATGGTAACATTAATTGGGATAGCCTCTTCAACAAAGACTGAAGTCATGGCAGCATTAACTGGTATCAGGATTGCAAGAGATTTGGGTTATTTGAATATCACCATCAAAGGAGATACAACAAACACTATCAAGTGGTTAGCTCATCCTGACAGAGGCCCCTGGACTCTAGTTCACTACTTGGCTGAAGCAAGAGACATTCTTTCCACCTTGAACACACAGTTGTGTTGGGTCCCTAGGAAGTTAAACTCTAGCTGACGGTCTAGCAAAGGCTGGTGTTCACAGGGATTACCATTTTAGTGATAGTTTTCTCCCTGTATAACTCTTTGAGTTAGTAGTTTCTGTGTACATCTTCTCATGTGCCCCTTTTCCTTTGAATAAAGTTATTTTCTTTTCAAAAAAAGGGAGCCTATTTCTCAGTTCCTCTCTCCCTTGGTCCTCCTGTTGCCTTTAAATTGGGATTTTGGGTTGAATCTGTTTGTGTCTATAAACTTTTACTTCTACTGGGTTCTGTTTGTCTGGACCCTCTTAAACCTGACAGTAGAATTTGGACTTCGACCTCGAGTGGCTCCTTTACTTGAGCCTCCTTCGTTAAGTCCCTATGCTCTACTCCTCCCTTTGCTGTTCCTAGTTAAAGAAATTTGGTCAAGGCCTATTCCCCCCAAAATAGTTGTCTTCTGTTGGGAAGTTTTTCATGGTAAGATAATACTTTGGATAACCTGCAAAAGAAGAGACCTTATTTGTGTCCGTCCCCAAACTGGTGTACTCTGTAAAGTGTAGAATGAGGACTGATACCATCTACTAATTCTTTGCTCTTTTGTTGTAGACATTTGAAATAGGTTTTTATGTTGTTCGGGTGCAGGTGGAACTTGCCATTTTGAAGCAAATTTGCAATTTGATCCGCCTACTTTTGGGTGGCCAACTAAAAGAGAGAAACCAATGCAGTAATGTATCAGAGAATCTCTTTTGTAGACTATTTGGGAGGAAAGAAATGTTAGAATATTCCAAGAAAAGGAAAGAAGCTTGGTTGAAGTCAAGGAGTGTATATTGACAAGGGCAATCCTTTGGCTAAAAAGTTCAGATCTTTTCCTGGACTATTCTTGTGATGATCTTTGAAGGAGTTGGACAACAGTGGCTTCCACTTCCTCCAAAAAGAATAAAATACAAGCAAGGTGGATATCCCCTTAGGAGGGTGTTGTAAAGTTGAACTTTGATGGGAGTGGTCAAGGCAATCTAGGGCCTTCGGGTGTAGGAGGGATCTTGAGGGATTAGGACAGCAACATTCTCTTATTATTTTCAGGTCCACTGGGATTTGGAGACTCTACAAGGGCTGAGTTACTAGTTGTACAAGGATTACAAATTGCCAACCAACTTGGAGTTGAAAATTTGATAGTGGAGGGATACTCTAAGGTGGTAGTGGGTTGGTTGTTGGATCTGGATACTGTTATTTGGGGCTATAGGGAGATTCTTAAAAAAGTTCATAATTGTATCCCACCAATTGTATCCAAAATAGTTTTTCGGACCACATTTTTCAATACTGCAGGGTCCACCTGAATCTCACCACCTGCTTGATGGGTTTGAAAATTGAAAAGTTCCTCTGTAACGTGTTTATTTGCTTCTTTCTGCCTACCTCCATGTGTCAACAGAGGAACCAATGGAGCACCCCTGCCATTAATGCTGCCCGTACACTGTTCCCTCCCTCACCTCCCCTGATTCTCCTGAGCTTTCCACCACCACCTCCTTCCTTGTTGCCTGTGGAACTCCCCCTCCCCTGCACTGTCCCTAGAACGGCACTTGAAGCTGAACTTTGATGGGAGTAGTCAAAGCAACCCAGGTCACTCTGGAATTGGAGGGGCTTTTAGAAATAAGGATGATGTTGTTATGGCCTTATTCTCAGGTCCTGTGGGAGTAGGAGACTCAATAAGGGCTGAATTACTTGCTAACTTACAAGGAGCCCAGATTGCAAATGAGCTAAGAGTGGAGAATTTGGTGATTGAAGGTGATTCTAAGGTTGTGGTGGTGGGATGGTTAAAGGATTTGGAGTCTATCTTTTGGTGCTACAGGGATGAAATCAAGAAATTCAAGTGGTTAACAAGAAACATGAATTTGAGATTACAATGGGTGGGGAGATCGGCTAATACTATGTTTGGTTACTAGCCAAGCAAGGGGCAAATAGGGATAAGTTGTATTTGGCCCAATTGTGATTTGTTTCTTCATTTGTGATTTGTGTTTTCAGTTTGGAGGTCACAGCTCATGCCTTTCCAAGGGCTGCTTGTAATGCTTGATTTTCTTGATATTAATAAAATCCTATTTCATAGAAAAAAGACTTGCAAAGATAACATGCTGATGTAGGGATGCCCATTCCCCTTGCTATCAGCTTATCCCTCATTAGACATTTGCTCAAGGCTGCTATCCATGCCATGAAAGATACTTTAAGATACCTGGGGTCTATTTATTATTTTTTATTCATCTTGATATGGTGTCAATATTTTTCTTCTAAACATAAGAATGTGGTGATTTTTTGAAGACGACTTATTGTACAGGAACCTTTTTGTTTTAATATTGGGATTTCTCCAACCTTTTTTCCTTTACTTTTTTTTTTCTTCAGACAACAAAAAGGAAAGGATGGATCAACCATGGAATTAAGGGTGCTGAATCTATTGCTGATCACATGTATCGCATGGCACTAATGGCTTTGATTGCTGGTGACCTTCCTGGTGTGAACAGGGAAAGGTTAAATTTAGCAACAGCATCAATAAATTTCTACATAAATTTTCTAATATCTTTGTTGTTTTTTACATTGTAATATAGAATTTTGTTAAACCACTCTTGTTTCATTGATTTGGGTACAAGTTCTGCTCAGTTAACTTGGTACTAGAAGATCATACAGAACAATTGGAGGAAAGGGAAAAAAAGACAATTGTGCAAATTAATGGGATATAATAGAAGCTGCAGTTATGCTTCCATTACTTTGTAAATTCTGGTACAAAGGGCTAGAAAAGTGAAGATGGCCTTGATGAAGGTTGTAAATCCTCTAATGTTAGGATTTATATACTGTCTTAGTTGTAATATCGAATAAAAACATTTCATTTAAATCCATAAGCATTTAAGCTTCTAGTAGAATTTAAATGATCCATGAGATATAAAGAATAACATGAATTAGAACTTCAGCCTTGGGATTGTATATCTTGGTAGGTTACTTTATTTCTAATTCAATTTATAATAGACCATGACATTGCTATTAGTTTCCCTTGTTTGATTGTTAATTCCCTTTAAGGCACTTAGAAAGAAATTTGAGGGTTCATTTGGTTCCCTGGATTAGGTGCCTGGAATTGGAATCAGAACTGCCCATTCTGATTCCAATCGTTTGTTTGGTCACAATGGGATTCCAATTCTCATTCTTGGTGGAATGGGATTCCCCCATATGGGGAATGGTCATTCCAGGCTCCCTCTTGGGAATGGGATCCCACTCTAGAGTCTGTCAAGAAGTAAATAACTCCTAAGTGCTGACAAAAAACCTCTAAACCCTAATATTAATAAAATATTATTAAAGTAATAATAAGATAATAATAAAATAGTAATAACAAACTACTAATAAAATAATAATATAACAAAAACAATAAAGCAATAATAAAATAATAAAACAATAATAAGAAAATATTAATAACTAATACAATGAAAATTTTCAGTTGATTCCGATTTCGACTCCAAATGAACCAAACAGCAATAATTGGAATCTGACTCCAATTCCTGTCTGAACCAAACAGGCGTTGGGAATTAGGTGATTCTGATTCCCATTCCAATTCCGATCCTGACTGCAAACCAAAGGGACCCTGAAACTGTGTTTGCCTATTCTATGTTAGGCAAACCAAAAATGTAGTGCCACTATTAACCATTGAGGGACAGTCTAGATTTTGAAGATACACATGGAACACTAGGATAAATAGGATACATTAAGACATGAATAAATGAAAGCAAATAAATCATAGAAAGAGAAATAATATCTATGCCAAGCTTACTTAAATAAAAAATAAACTGTTTTCCATGTGCAGTCTGATGTTAGGATCCAGAGGAACTGAGTATTCAGTCTAGCTGGCAACTATCCAGCCTCCCTGATGTGGCGATGCAACTTCCAAGCACCCTTACCACCAGGAGACAAAAACATAAACTTTCTGTCCAAGAGATAAAATTGAATGTCAACTATTTGAATGATTGTATCATAATTTTTTAGTGTTGTACCTTTTTCTGTTGCTCTTTGGTTTACTTTCCAAGTTCAGGGGCTTATTTAAGTTTTTAGTTTTTCTTCTCTTTCTAACAGGTGTATTAAGATAGCAATTGTGCATGACATTGCAGAAGGTAGTTTAACTCTGAATCTGTTTCTTTTTCTTATTGTTTTCTTTCTTAGTACTATTCATGCTCAATATTGATACTCAAAATATTTGAGTAACTGATCAAACAATGTTTATATAAGTTTTGCCAATTAAGTCAACAGGTTCTTATTCTGTCAGACTGTCACTACCTTCTCTGCTTAATAATGTAATTTGTGCTTAATTTTGATATTTAAATGTCACTGCATATTCTTGTCATACATGTACCAATTATGTTTTTCAGAAACTCTTTGGCATATAACTCAAATGCATTTGTGAACTTGGATTTAACATTTGCGTTGTGTTCTTGTTTATGAATTCGTTGTTGTGTGTATACTGTGGGTTTAACACCAGGCGAGGTGCTTTACTGCCTTGCTAATTTGCTAAACTGTTCAAATTGTTATTTGTCTTGATAGTCTGACATTCTCTATTTTCTTTAGTGTCTGTGTACCTGGTCATCTACACAAAAGGGAAAGAATATAATATGGAGTGAAAATGTTGTAAGATTGCGGAGAAAGAAAAGTGAGAGCAATAGGTTCTATTCTACATGCCATTTTCCACTCAAATTCTGTATAGTAGCCTGCAGCTGCTGAATAGTCAGCACTTTGTACATTTAACAGAAAACAGAGAGATGTGAAAGACAGGGAAGACCTAAGCTTGGGAAGAGGAATTGATCTAAGAGGAGGGAAGTATGGTTTTATTGGAAGAATGTCTTTATTTTCAATGAAAAGATGCAATGGCAAGGCAAGGTGTAAATAGAGATGGGGTGTTCCTGGGAATATGTAATGATCTTGGGGGGGGGGGTAAAGTGATGCCAAAAGTGGGAAGAGAAGGCTGTGCTAGCCTAGGCGGGTGGTTCTTATATTGCATTCATTATTTTAATAAAAGTTGAGTTATTCATCAAAAAGTGAAAGTAATTATCATTTTAAAAGCATAAACTTATTTGATTACATTTTACAACTTCAATTTCATCTTTTGATCTTTTTCACCCAATATAATCTTTTACTTACAAGTACGCATACAACTTTTCCTACTTTTGGTGATTGAAAATTCTTACTTGGTTTTGCTAGCAATTGTTGGAGATATAACACCTGCAGATGGTGTGCCAAAAGCAGAGAAGAGTAGGCGCGAGCAAGAAGCATTAGATGAAATGTGTGAAGTACTCGGCGGAGGATTAAGGGGTATTTGATGCTATTTTCTTGGCTTAACTTAATTACAAGCTTGTTTTTACTCAGGGAAACAGTACTTACAATAATTGGAATATGTGCAGCTGAGGAGATAAAAGAACTTTGGGCAGAGTATGAAAACAATTCCTCTATAGAGGCTAATCTTGTTAAGGATTTTGATAAAGTATGTATTTTCTTGAATGTATGAGACTATGAATTTTAGTATGGAGTAAAGAGTTTTTTTTTTTTTTCTGAGAATATATGATGTTAATACTTGAGCTTTCCTACATAATATGTGGATGCAATTGTTGGCATGCGAGGATTGATACCTTACATCTGCTTGGTCCTAGAAGTCTCCAGGGTCAAAAAGCAGAATTCTAGATTACTATAAGCAATTTGGTCTTGATCTATTTCTTTAGATGGTCAAAATAATTGTGTTGAATCTCAGAAAAAAAATCTTTGATAATAAATGATGATCATGCTAATTCTTTGCCCAGGAAATCCTTGTTAGTGTGTGGGTGGGT